TTCTTTAAAATTTAAATTTTTGCTTTTTAATATTGTACTACAGTTGTATATGATGTTAACATTGCCGGAGGATGAGGGAAGAATGCACAGGACTCCCTGTTAAACTATATCTCAAAATAAAAATTAAAAAACAAAGAGCACTCTAGCTACAGAGCAGGAAATGGATTGAATAGAAGTTAAGGCTGATATGGAGGAAACTACTGAGTGATTATTATATTAGTCTAGGAAAAAGACAAATGATCATGGCTAGACTTGGGTGGTGGCAGTAGAGAGAGAGAGAGAAGAATGGACACATCTGAGAAATATTTAGGAGGTAAAAATTATGGAATCTGGCGATGGATGGGATATAAGAGGCTAGAGAGAATGAGCTCAAGGGTATTTTGAAGTGTAACTTTGCCCCATATTTCATAGCCTAGAAAATAAATATACATTTAGGGCAAGACAGCAAAAAATTGGAAGGCATCATCTCACGACAGAGCATATTCCACAACTAAAGGTGCTGTTGCTATGAGGTCACTTGGGGAGTTTTGCTAGCCTAAAGTACACAGTATTATTGTGTCAAAACTCAATTTATTGTCTCTCAACCCCAATTTACCCTTCATTGCCTGTTCTCCATAAATGAAGCTGAACACTTTAACTATTTTTCCTTTGCCAACTAGCATGATGTTATACTTTCTCAGCAGAGGGTGCTGGAGAGAGATTACAGGAGGAAGGGGCTTTTCTTCCTGTCTCAGTTGCTCCTCTTTGTAGGCTCCTTTCAGCATGCATGCCTCCTCCAGCGTCTGGCTGCTGCAGCACTGGCAACTGATCCAGTGCCAGGATCCCGCAATACAGGCAGCACCCAGGAACCAGCAGCTTCCACGGGGACTCCCGTCAGTGCACGGCTGCACTGTCTCCAATAAGTTCAGGATCTTAGCCTGGAGAGGGATGGCCTCTTCTCTGGGGGCTCTATCGCAGTTTTAAGGGTAGTAGCTCCTCCTTATATCTGCTTTTCTCATTCTCTTTACTCCTTACTATCCAATCCCTCCCTACTTCAACCTCCTGCTGTACTTAAGAATTCTTTGATTAAACTTACCCTGTTCAAATTACTGTATGACTTTTGTGTTTTGATTGAATGCTGACTCAAACAATCCCCCAAAGAGTGCTGTTTTGATTCCCTCAACATTGAGCTTTTAATAGCCCATCTATATTTGTCAACGAAGGGCTCCTGGATGTGGCTGACCAATGTATAGAGGTTGCTAAACTGACCATGGTTTCAATTATATCATGAAAGCATTCAAACCGATGTTGCAAATTTTCCAAATATCTAGAATTGGGTTTTACTTTTATTCAACTTGAAACAAATCTATGATTTTAAGTTTGAAAATGGAGTTTATAGCAATATTTTTTTTTCTGAAAAAACGTTTGCATGTTAATCTAAACCAACTTATATTCGCATCTTTATGTTTAAAAGCTCCACTATGCTACCTTGCACAATATAAACAGGTAAAATTTGAGATGTAAAATATTAAAAGCAAAGACTATAAAATACTTCAAAATATAAGCAAACAAGGTTGAGTAGACTCCAGGCCAAGGATGGTGATGATAGAAATGAGGATTTCTTTCTGCAGCATGTGAAAATGTTGATCTTTTCTCCCTTTTCTTGATTGCCCTAACACTCCTGGTTTTTGTTTTTGTTTTGTTTTGTTTTTTTTCATTCCTTCTCATTTTCCTTTACAAGCTCCTCTATTTCAGTCCACCCTTTAAAATGTCAGTGTTTCCCTGGATTCTGTTCTTGGCTCTCATTTCTCATTGGTGTTGGGTGAGTTTATCCAGACTTAGGTAATGTCTCCTTTATTTGTATCTGCAGCCTAGGCCTGCCTCCTGAGCTCCAAAGTCCTTTACATGATCCAGTTTCTAGTCTGGGGTCAGCAGATGACAGCCTATGGGTCAAATTCAACACAGTTTTTGTAAATGAAGTCTCGTTGTAACGCAGCCACACCCACTTGTTCACATACGGTTCTTTCCTACTATAATGGCAGAGTTAAGTAGTTGTGACAAAGAATGCATGGCCTACCAAATCCATGTTTATTATCTAGCCCTCCACAGAAAAAGTTTACTGACCCCTGCTCTAGACTAAGCTGTGCATTCTACTGTGGTTTAGGCATGACTGAGCATGTATTTCTTTTTTCTTTTTTTTTTGGCTGTGTTGGGTCTTTGTTGCTGCGTGCGGGCTTTCTCTAGTTGCGGCGAGCGAGGACTACTCTTTGTTGTGGTCTGTGGGCTTCTCGTTGCGGTGGCTTCTCTTGTTGCAGAGCATGGGCTGTAGGTGCACAGGCTTCAGTAGTTGTGTCAGGCAGGCTCAGTAGTTGTGGCACACGGGCTTATTGCTCTGCAGCATGTGGGATCTTCCCCGACCAGGGATCGAACCCGTGTCCCCTGCATTGGCAGGTGGATTCTTAACCACTGCACCACCAGGGAAGTCCGAGCATGTACTTTTAAGTAGAGGGGTAGGCCCTTTACTTGCATCTCTCCGTATGAGAGAACCATACTCATAACTGGAACTCATATCCAAGACCCACGGATAAAGAGTACAACAGCAAAGTGAAGGGATATTTTTGTTAGGAATTGTCATACTGGGAACATAAGGAGGATAACGCACGATGCTCTTTGCTGTAGAATCACCTAGAGAGCATTTAAAGACAGATTGCTAGACCTCATTCCCAGAGATTCTGATTCAGTACAACCGGGGAGGGCCTTGGGAATCTGAAATTTTAGAATGCTTTCCAGGTAATGCTGATATGTAGCAAATAGTCAGGATTTGGAAGTCCAAATGATCTAAAAATCCATGGCCAAGTAAGATGGTCTTTTTATTCTTGATGAATCATTAAAAAGAGGCCAGTTCGTTTCTCTTCAATTTATATATTATTTATGAGTCTCTAGCTTTAGGGAATACAATAAAGAATTCAAAATCTCTTAGCAATGATTTTTCTCAACGACTTTTCTTGCACTAAGGATCATGTAATAAAACTCTACGCTTCCATACTGCCTGATATTTTCAAAGTGGTTTTACATCTTCTCTCAGTGACCCTGTGAGGTAAAGTGAGGATCCAATACTTAGCATTCGCTTGAGTTTATCACACTTACCAAAACCCTGTCAATCCGTTGACCAAGGGCCACTTCCAGTTCTGTTATTCATGCATTCATTCAACAACAAAAATTTTTTTGAACACTTGCCAGTCATTGTTAGGTACAAAGAATTGTGGACTGGATAAAATTCCTGCCCACATGGAGCTTACATTCTAGTTGTGGGACGGGGAGGGGGGAGAGGGGGAGCTCTCCTTATACGTGCCTTCTGTAAAAATTTCCCTAACCTGTCCTAGCCTGAATCTTCAAATTAGGAATTTCCCCCCAAACTTATTAAATGAGAAAGGATAACACTTGTCCCATGGTCACACCATATCTTGTCATTTAAAGCTGATTCCTCTGCTGTGGTGCTTGTCTGTCACGTAGCCCTTAAGGCTGTAACACTGGTTTCATGTTTACATCTGTTCTGACATTATATGTGCAAGTGAATGAGCTCTATGGGTCTTGTCTCTGAAAGGAAGAGACTCCTATTTGTAGTTAGTTCTAAGCCCTCATATGATTAATGAGTGCTTCTCAGTGATTCTGGATCAAAATAATCAGTCTCACCTGATTGAAGATTAGAGTCTGCACCTACAGATTCTCTTTAGTAGGATAACTGGAAACCTAACAAACAGGGAGAACAGTTTCGTGAAAGTAAGCCAAAGAATGTCAGAGATAGAAGAGACCTCAGGGATGTAGCCCCACTGCCTTTTCAAGATCTGAAATCTGAGACTCAGAGAGGTTACCTAAGTTGCCTCAGGTCACACAGCCTAAACGATGGATGTGTAATCAGTAACCAAATACAATCTACAATCACATGGGGGCGAGGAGATCCTTCTCCTAAAATTTAACGTCTACATCAGGTCCCGGCGCCTCACCGCTTCCACCCATCCCCCTTTCTTGTATTAATTACGCATCGCTCTTTTTTGAAGAATCGGGTCGTTAAAACTTGCAGTTGGGGCATTCCACAAACAGGTGTCCAGATCACTGACACATAGTCGGGGAATCTGGGTCTCCACCTGCCCGCCTGCCCGCCGAGAACTCTCCAGCTCCCGCGTACAAAGTTTGCTCGGCTCATACATTCCTCTTTCAGATCCCTGGCCGCGAGGCCAAGATGCCTGCTGCGGCCTCCGAAGAAGTTCGGAGATGCAGTTTCCTCGCAGAAGCCGGGCCGGGGTGCGTCGGCCGCCGAGCTGAGCGTCCTCTGGCTCGGTGGCGGCGGGGGAGCGCCGGGCGCCTGTAGGCGCGGGGCTGGGCGGGGCGGCCCCTCGGCGCGCGCTGCCCGCCCCGGCTCCCAGGGCCGCGGGCCCGCTAGCCCCGCGTGGAGCGAGAGGCGCGCGCGGGCCGTGGGGGCTGGGCCGAGGCGGAGCGCGAGGCGGCGGCGGCGGCGGCAGGAGGCGCCGCGGGACGAGGCAGCGGCCCCCGCCCCCCAAAGTCCGTCCCCGCGCGGGGCTGGGGAGCTCGGGGCGGGGAAGCCGCGGGGCCGCGCCACGTCCCTCGCCCGCCCCAGAGCGGGTTTTGCAGGCGGCTCTAAGCTGGGGGCTTTTGTGTCTGCGACTCGGGAGCGGCGAGAGCGCAGACCTCATCCTCAGAGGGCGCTGTGAGTGCGCCGCCAGGGCCGGGCCGCCCGCCTCCCGCCTCCCCTGTCAGCGGCTCCTGAGGCGGCGGTGGCGGCGGCGGCGGCGAAGAAGAAGGAGTGGGAGGAGGCGGCGGCGGCGGCGGCGCACTCGTCCTCCGCACACGCCGGCCCCGGGCGGGGGGCCGCCCCCAGGCCGCTCTCCCGCCGCCGCCGCTGAGCCCGGGTGGCCCCAGCACGCTGCCCGGCCGCCCCGAGGCCTCGTCCTCCTCCCAAACTTTGCAAAGTCGGCCCGCGTCCCCACCGCCCTCGGCCGCGCCTCACCTCGGAGGCTCGCCTCGCAGCCGCAGCGGCCCCGCGAGGAGGAGGAGGAGCCGCCGCCGCAGCATCAAAGAGACCGAATTCCCGCGGCCTGGGGGGGAGTCATGCTTTGCGGTCTGTAATGTCAGCAGAACAGGAGAAGGATCCCATTTCGCTGAAGAGAGTTCGAGGTAACCGAGAAGGGCGCCGGGTTGAGGGGAGCGGGGGGAGCGGGGCGCGCGGGGGCCGTGTGCCCGCCGGCCGGGAGGCAACGGGGCTCTGTCCGGGCCTAACTCCGCGCAGCCCGCGTCCCGCCTGCGCCCCGGGGCCCGGGCTGCGGTCGGAGGCGCGCGGCCGCCGCGTCCCCTGTGCCGAGCCCTGGCCGCCCCGACTTTGTGTTAGGAGGCAGTTGAAGCCGCACTCAGCATCCCTTCATACCCCGCTCCTCGCCCACCTTACCTCGTTGGCCAGACACAGCACAATAGGCAGCTCAGAGGGTGAGAAAGAAACACTCCCTGGCAGAGACCACGAACGATGCCCTCCACCACCACCCCCAAAAAAGTAAGTTGGACCGCACTGGAGTTGACGCTCTTGCAGAAGGTGTGCCGGGCCTCCGTGTCTCTCCCAGCCCCCCTTCCCATTCTCCAAAAGGCAACAAACATACAGCTTTATTTTCCTTAGGCTTAAGAGGAGAACCTATATTCATTCAAAAGGCTTTTCTCTATTGGCTTATGGATAAGAATCAAATCGCCCCAAATCAGTTTTATACACGGCTGGCTTGCTTCTTCCTTGCACACTAGTTAGGAATTTTCCTGCTGCCTTACTATCCAAGAAGTATCAGAGGGAACGATGTGCCAGACAAAAGATAACGCATGTAAGTTCACAGACACCAAGTGCCGTCTGGAAATTTGGGGAGTATCCTCCAGCTCTTATTTCCAGCTTTCAATAGGGTTCAGGCCGAAAGTCACAAAGTTGAAGTAATACTGTTTGTTCAGTAAGCAAATATTTATTGAACATCTACTGTGTGCCTGGCACTGTTTTTGGCACTGGGATACCGCGGTGAACAAAGCAAAAAGACCATCTGCACCCAGGAGGAATGCACACTCTTGTAGGGTAAACAAATGATGAACAAATAAAAGGTATAGGATGTCAAATGGTAAGTGGTATGGAGAAAATCAAAGCAGGGAGAGTGGTTAGAAAATATGTATGGGGGTGGAGAGGTAGCAATTATGTATAAGAGGGCTCAGCTGGAAGATGATGTTTGCGCAAAGACCCAAAGGAAGTGACAGAGCAGAGCCATATGGATATGTGTGGGAATAGAAGTGTTGGCAAAAGGAACAGCAAGTGCAAAGGCCCTGGGTCTGGAATTTGCCTAGTGTGTTCAAGCAACTGCAAAGAAGCTATTGTGAGTGAGCAAAGGGAGAGTAGTGTGAACTGAGCTGAAGTATGGGGTGAATGTGTATTGGCCTTGTGAGCCATTTAAAAGATTTGGGCTTGTACTCTGAGATAGCGCCTGGATGATTTTGTGCAGAAGAGTGAGTGATCTGCCTTATGGTTTTTTTTTGGGGTTTTTTTTGCGGTACGCTGGCCTCTCACTGCTGTGGCCTCTCCCGTTGCGGAGCACAGGCTCCGGACACGCAGGCTCAGCAGCCATGGCTCACGGGCCCAGCCGCTCCGTGGCATGTGGGATCTTCCCAGACCGGGGCACGAACCCGTGTCCCCTGCATCGGCAGGCAGACTCTCAACCACTGCGCCACTGGGGAAGCCCTGCCTTATGTTTTTAACTGGCTGTTCTGCGGAGAATAGACTGTAGAGAACAAGGGCTAAAGCAGGGAGGCTAGTTAGGAAGTTATTGAAATAATCCTTTCATCCAAACAGGATAAAGTGCTTTATAAATCAGTAAGTAGTAAGGTAAATTTCCAATTGACTTAAGTGATGTAGAGATCAAGGACCACAGCCATTCATCTATGTTTTTGTTCCTTGTGACTAGAGATTAAACCTATAGAACTGGCTTGTGACACAGTGACAATGTGATATCCAAATAACATCACTTGAGTATTTAGTTAGAGATTGATTTTCTTAGCCATTTAAGCAAAAACATAATTTAGAGCAGAATATTGTTTTTACAGGCTTAATAGCACAATCTTTCATTTGGTGAAGGTTTTCTATTTCAACTTTCTTTTCTCTTTGTTGTTATGAATTGCCAAAGCCTTTAAGGAATAGACCTTTCTGAGATAGTTATTTCTTTGATATGTTTGCCATGTTATTTTGCCTACTATTAAAAATTACTTTGGGGGCTTCCCTGGTGGCGCAGTGGTTGAGAGTCCGCCTGCCGATGCAGGGGACACGGGTTCATGCCCCGGTCCGGGAAGATCCCACATGCCGCGGAGCAGCTGGGCCCGTGAGCCATGGCCGCTGAGCCTGCGCGTCCGGAGCCTGTGCTCCGCAACGGGTGAGGCCACAACAGTGAGAGGCCCGTGTAACGCAAAAAAAAAAAAAAAAAAAAAAAATTACTTTGGGGTTGAAGGAAAAGAAAGCTTTATCAAGTTTATACCTTTGAACTCAATTATCAGTCTTAATCAAATGTAATTTTAAATAAAATTGATGGGTATTTTATTGTGCATCAAGACTACAGATCTGTCTTTGTTTTATTACAACTGCTGGTTTTAAGTTTGATGCCCTAGTTGTTGGAAGTTGACTTAGGTGTCAGCTCAAGAATATTCTGAGAGTCAAGTACCAAAATAAAAGACAAAGCACTTTTTAAAATAAAAAGCCAATATGAAGAGGGGTTTTTATGATGTCATTTTGTACTAATTAGAACATTAATTTTTAAAACATTTTAAAATTATTTTATAATCCATAAAAGGTACCAGATTATCTACATGAGCTCTTCCGAAGCACAATTCTGCTGAACTTCACTGCCCTGGAGCTACTAGTTATAATTTATATCATCAGACTGCACGTAGAATGTGGTGTTTGCAGAGCATAATCTCTTGAACAGTGCTTCTCAATCTGTTTCTTATCCAATGATATATATATAATCAGACTTTTTAATGGTTATGTATTTATTTCATGGGTATTATCAAAAATATAAGTTATCAAACCTTTTGCTTAGGATAAGACTAAGATATAGATAAATAGACATATCTTTCTCTATATATAGAGAAAGACCTATATATTTGTTTAAATTTTAAATTTAAAGGAATTACTAGAAAATAATATTATAGACATAACTCAGATATGGCAAAATTATGGCAATGTGAATGACTAAGGACTTCGTAGACCAAAAGCATCGTAATCCCCTAGGATGCTTATTCAAAATGTAGCTTCCTGGACACACAGAATCAGAATTTCTGAGAGATTTCTCTGCATCTTTAACAAGCTCCCCTGGTGTTCCTTATGTACACTAAAGTTTGAGAACTGCTGCTGGTAGACCTAGATTGTGAAGGTAAGTGGACCAGAGGAAGCTGATCGGTGGTTTTCCAAACTTGTCGTGATAGTTTATTTATTTATTTTAATTTTACTTTTTAAAATATTTATTTATTTGGTTGTGCTGGGTCTTAGTTGCGGCAGGCAGGCTCCTAAGTTGTGGCTCGCCAGCTCCTCAGCTGTGGCATGCGAACTCTTAGTTGCGGCATGCATGTGGGATCTAGTTCCCTGACCAGGGATCGAACCCGAGCCTCCTGCATTGGGAGCCTGGAGTCTTACCACTGCACCACCAGGGAAGTCCCTGTCCTGATATTTTAATATTAGATTCACAATTGCTATTTAATGGCAAAGTATCTTACTCCTGTTTCCTACCAGTTCTTACCACTCCCCAAACCCTCAGCCCTGGGTTGTAAGACAGATCCATGAGGATAGGTGCAATATCTTGATTATCCTTCTGTTTCTTTCCTAATTGCCTTGCTCACAGTAAATACCAAATGAACGAATGAGTGAATACATGAAGGAACTGATTCGTATCGTTATGCTGCTTTCGGATTGTCCGTAGCCCCTCCCACCACTTTTACTTGCCCTTTTTCCTTATTCTAACCAACACTCCCATTATCCAGTATTTTTAGAACTCTTAGGTGTTGATCTGATGACGCTATTCATTCGTTTATTCAACAAATATTTGTTGGGCAGTTATAGTGCCAGACAGTGAGAATACATTGATTAAGAAGACATAATACCTGTCTTCAAGAACTTTTAGTGTAGTCTGGGATACTGACAAATAAGTAATCAATTACAAACAGCATGATAAATGCTGTGATAATCTACAGGACATAAAGGAACCTATATAACCTATCTTTAAGGGAGTCAAGGAAGGCCTCCTGGAGGAGAGTTCTACGAAGTGGTGGGTGTTCCTTTGTTTTAAATGATGTAGAAAGAGCAGCAAGGAGGATGAGGGATGAGAAAAAGGTCTAGGAAGTTAGTGGTGATTTTGAGAAGGCATTTTTAGGAGAAAACTGCATTTCAAAGTAGTGAATATTAAGTGGTGACGATATAATTTAAAAGAAGCTTGGTGATAGAAGGAAAGACATAGCCAATAACTTGGAAAGAGAGTCAAGAGGAAGTTTGTATGGGTTCTCTTTATTTTTTCTCCCTTGAAAAATGACAGACATATTAGTAGACAAACAAAAGAACCTGATTTAGAAGGAGAGGGGAGAAACTGAAAAAGCAACAGAAAGAGAGGATAATTCATTAATAGAGCATTCAGTACGTGTTTTTTAATATCTGCCATGTGCTAGGTATTCGCTGTTGTGGAAGCTGGGCATTAGACAGACAAGACTCCTCATAAATCAGGTTTCTGCATATGAGAGAAGGAATAGCAACAAGGATGCAAATGAAGAGTTAGTCTTGGGGAAAAAAAAGAGAAAATGAAGGAAGAAAAAGAAATTTAGAGATGAAGAAGGAAGCTGAAGCATTCATTTCAGATGAAATGCTTTTTTTTTAAACATACATGCCACATTTATTGTTTCAAATACAGTTATGTCTGATTTATTACTGATTTTGCCTGAAGAAGTTAAGACAGCAGACTTAATGACTCATATCAGAACTATGGTGAACACTATATAGTATCAAGATAACTCCATCTAGACTATGAACAAATGATAGTTCTTTAGTAAAAGTAGAAATTTCTCTAGTCATGAGGCAAAAGTGATTAAGTAGCTATCTGCTTTTAAAAGACTGTGCACCCTCAGATGAAACA